GCATGGCGTGTCTGCTAACCCACTGGCCCTATGGGCCAATGGCCCAAACCCCAGGCATTGTCCTGGTTTTTAGCTGGAACAGAGCTGGGTTTCACTTCCAGCAACAAAAATGCAGACACTGGGATGTTCTCAGCGTCTCTCTAGTAACAAATCCCATATTGCAACCAAAACACAGCGCTATTCCAGCTACTAAAAAGAAACCCAGCTCTGTCCCAGCTAAAAACCAGGACAGGCATGGGACAGTACGTGGCTGGAAAGCAGATGGATGGCTGAAACACTGTCTGGGGGGATATTTATTTAGGTTGATGTCTCAGGAGGAGGACATGGCAGGCTAGGAGCACGAACCCCGTGCAGAAGGAGGGTGGAGAGCTGTGTTTGGGCTATGCCAGACCCTGTTAGAAGGGACCGGCAGAGGTATCTGTGGCAGAGAGCTGGAGAAGCTTTGCACAGATTTCATGAGGCTGTCTGGTCCCTTGGGGTTATATGTGTACACAGCTAGAGTACCCGTGCTGTTAGGACATCCAGGAGCTGTGTGCACATCCAAAGATATTACTGCGTATTTGTGTCTTGTAGGGGGGCAGGGAGGTCTCCCTAAAATACCCAGATCCAATGCAGCAAGAATCCTGATGTTAACATCCATTTGCTACACTCTGACGCAATGAACCACGGCCAGCATCAGCTTCCAGAGGTCCCAGGTGGGCAGGGGATCTCACTGTCTCCCAGGGGCACCATGTGAGGGTACCACAATAACCCCAAATGCTCACCCAGGCAGCCTGAACTCCTTATGGCAGAGCCCAAAACCACCATGCCTACAAGATGGCTTGCTTCTCGGTCAGTTTTAATATCACAGCCTGGCACAGAAAGCAAAAGTGAAGAAATGCCCTGAAATACCTGCATGACTTCAGCGCAGAATGACAAGAGCAAGTGTAGTTAGGAATGTCACATTAATTTCAGCTCACACTGACGTGTTTACTTGTGGTAGAGGCCTTACATCAGAGCAGTATTTTGAACTCAGGTGCTGCAACACCTGTAGGCAAAATGAAGTAATTTAATGGCAAAAACAGTCTTATCTCAAAAATATCTTCCTTGGGTGCCTGTCACAGGGATAAGCCTGAATCTTAATGCTGTTTTTCAGTTCTCCCTAACCAGAAAGTCTCCAATGCTTCAGCAGCACACACTGCATTAAGATAAATTTCTAGGCCCAGGGAACTCATCGAATTACTATTCAGTGTGCAAAATGCAGCCCACTGAAGAATCCTAAATCCTTGCTAGGGAATGTGGTTTTCCCACACGGGACTCGGCATCCTTCCACTGCTGAGCACAGACATTTCTAATGCCCCCAGACAGAACAACAACGCTTTTGAAAGCTTCTGCTCCTATGGTGTTCACTGCCAAGAAATCCTACCTGCTTCCCCAGCAGCTCACTCAGCACCGCAAGCATCACGCTTGCCCTTCTCTTATCCCTGGGGTAAGAGATTAAAGGACTTTCCCAGGGAAAGGACCTGGATGGAGGCTCCTGGTTACTAAGTGGATCGCTTCTCTACTAGCTCAGGAGGAGAAAATATGGGAACTGCTAAAAAAGTAATGATGGACATTAGTGCAACCTTATGTACTACTTGGAAAGATGTCCTCTGTCTTTCTTCTTGAGCAATGAGATCAGCTCCTCAGTGGGCGGTGAGCTGAGCTGCACCACCAAGGCAGGGCCAAAAACATCAAGAGAACCTGCTTCCCAAGGGGCATGGTCCATGCCATGCATGGCCACACATGTTGATGTGGCTCTAAATCCTGGATATGCTACTCTTGCTGCTGTTTCTGGGGGGTCATTTAAGAGTTTAAGTTGCAAATACACATCTTTATTGTCTTTCCTAATTCAAGAAAGCAACTTAAGGATTTACATGCTCTGACTGTTGTGCCCCAGGCGGGGCCCAGGCCACTCTGGAGCTGCCTGGGCTTTGTGGAAGCATGCAATGGTATCCTTCTTTCCATCCCACTGACTCTTCCCTCTGAGAGAGGGCAACGGGACATCTCTGGACAACAGGAGGCTTTTCCCCAGAGCTGGCCCTGCTCTGCCTTCCGGGTGTTGCTGGAGCAGCGCCCCACAGAGCTGGGATCTCCCCCACGACAGAGATCCATGGATCCTCTCTTGCTGGGATGGGACAGCCTCCTCAGGGAAGTGTTCACCACTTGCTCATAGCCCCTGTTAGAGCCACGTGCACCATGAGAGCAGAGCAATAGCTCTCCAGCTTTTGGAGCTCTCCAGGGGAGCAGGTGAAGATTTTTTCTGTAACAAAGTGGTTGTTTTAATAACGGAACTAGAACAGTCTTCTCTAGGCACCCTGGGGTGCTTCTGCTTGTTTGTTTTTCTTATATAACTTGAAATTTATTTCAACTTCAGGATTTTATTTTTTCCCACCCTGTAGATAAATGCAAGAGGGGAAGGATAAACCTGAGCCTTGGACTCTGGCTTGAAGAGGTTCAGGCCTGTCAGTGAGCCACAAAACACGGGCATTCAGTCCACGTGGGACACTGACACAGCTCCTGTACCTTAATGAACATTTCTGAGGACTATTTTATCTTAAATACCTCCTCCATCCAGTCTCCCACATTTGTCCAGACCCCTCGCTGCCCTCCTGCAGAGCTGGAGTAAGAGGCGTACGATGTGTGAGAGACAAAGCTACCTTAGATATTCCTACCTGGCATAATCAAAGAGCATGTTGATTGTAAGCTATGCACAGCAAGCCATGGGGAGAGAAGCCCTTCTTTCACCCATCTGTAGGGCATCCCTCACCCTGAAGCCATGTATGTGGGGCAGCACCATTTCCCCTTGTTCAGATCTGAACCGTGGAGGCTCTTAACCAGGTGCAGCAGCACCCTACATCCTCTTAGGGCAATGGATCCTTTTCCTGCTGAACATTAGATCAGTCAAATGTCAGTCACGGACCGGAGTTTGATAAGTAGCCAAGGGCAGTGTCTTTGCAGTCACCAAAAACAATGTGGACTTTTAAGGACTACAGCTAGGCAAGTTCCTGGGTTTATATCAAGTGGCGTCAGATGCTCTGCAACAGCTACAGAGAACGAGGTGCTGGGGTTACCAGAGCAGTTTTACACAGATTTTTTTAACAACACAGGAAATCAGTGTGGTCACTGTCTGCTTCATGGCCCTGATTTGCCTCTAAATAAAGACAAAGTCATTTGCAAAGTATGGAACAAAACCAGCAGGAGAGCTAAGGCTTTTTTTCTTTGTAGACGTGCGCTGGGCCTGGCTAGGATAGAGTTAAATTTCTTCATAGCAACTCCTGTGGTGCTGTGGTTTAGATTTTTGACCAAAACAATGCTGATATAACACTCTTTTTCAGCTGTGTTTGCACAGCCTTGGGGGTCTTCTCTGTTTCTCACTCTGCCCCCAGAGTAAATAGATTAGGGGTGCAAAAGAGGTTGGGAGGGGACATAACCAGGCAGATGACCGAAAGGATAGTCTGTGCCATGGAATGTCATGGTCAGCAATAAAAAGGGAGAGGAGGGGGTTTTAGAAGGGTTAGCCATCTTTTGCTCAGGACCAGGCTGGGCATCATTCTGCTCATGGGAGGTGCTGAGTGATTGCCTTTGCATCCCTGCTTTTGTTTGCTTTTGCTCTTCTACTTCTCCTTCACTTCCTGAACAATAACTTTTTTTTTTCCCTCTTGACCCCTGAGTTTTCTTGCTTTTACTCTTCCTTTGCTCTTCCCCCATCTCACCGGGGGGTGAGGGGGAAGTGAGCGAGAGGCTGTGTGATGCTTAGCTGCCCACCGGGGTTAACCCACAACAGGAGGCCACTCTATAAAAAAGGGATGCATCTGTCTGTTTTTAGCAGGGAGAAGGGTTACACCGAGGGAGGTTTCTATATCACTTCAGATTTTGGCAATAACAATGAGAAACTAAAACACATAGCATCATTTTTATAAGTTGGGGGGGTTTTTTTAGCTAACTTAATGTGGAAGAATAGCAAATAAGAAAATTCCACTGCTTCAGGTGCCTTTTGGGAGGTACAGTTTTACCTGACACGATGTCCTGTTGGCATCCTCTTCTCCTGCAGGAACCGTGACACACTGGCTCACATGACTACACCCAAACAAATGTTCTCCAACGTGGTGCAAGCTCTGCGATACCTGGACTCTCGTCTTCCAAACGGCAGCCATGTGATTTTAACAGGCTTGGTAGATGGCCGCTTCCTCTGGGATAACCTGCACGACAGATACCATCCTCTAGGTAAATATGAGATGTTGTGGGGCCCTCCTGGTTATCTGCTTGCTCATGTTGCCTTCTCTCCCTAAATAATTTGTGAATCCATTGGCAATCATCTCAAGCAAACACGACAGAGTGGAGGACATCTGAGGAATATGAGACAGATATTGGCTGCGCAGTAGAAGCAGGAGAGCCAGCTTACCATCCCCAGTTGAGGACAAGGTGGCTAGCAGGCAGATCCCTAACCTGCCTGGTCCTCACCCAAGCCTCAGCCTTGTCCCAGAATTGTGACCAGCCTGACTACACTTCATCCTGATTGTTGTTACAGGTGGAGCTGGAGATTTGGTGAACACCTCCACTCACTGACTGGTGGATGTCTTGCTAAAACTGGATGTGGGCCAGGATAGAAGATTAAGTCAGGGGATTGTGAAAGACTAGTTAGATATTAGAGAAATAAATTTTCCACAAGGGCTGGGTGCCTGCCACCTCCTACCCTACCTACAGGTTGAAACCTCACACCATGCACAGGCATGTTTTGGGGCGTTTTCTCAGAGTGCCATTGCCGCAAGGTGCTTTGGGGCAGTGTTGTCAGAGGTTTGAAGGTTGCCTTTGGGAACCTCTCATCTCAGAGCATGCATGAAACTGTACATCTGACCATCAAAGGACCACTTGCTCCTTGGCTTCATCCTGTGCCAAGCAGCAAGGAGGAACATCATCACAGGAGGCTGCATCCACACTCAATCATGTGTGATGGCCTTGGTTAGTCTGATGGTCATGTCCCTGGGGTCAGTGCAGAAACATTTCCCTGGGGACATGGGAGGTTGTAGAGTGGGGAAGCTTGGAAGGTGGTTGCAGAACCCCTTCTCTACAAATTCACACCAGGCTGCAGTGGATAAAGAAAGTGAAATATTTTATGCAGGTAGCAAAGAAATAAAAAAAGGTGAAGTAAGTCTCTCATTCTCCAGTCAGATGTGTGTACAAGGAACCATCGTGTCCATTCTGCTGTCAAATTTTAGACCAAAAGCATGTCCTTCTTCTTATTTGGGTAAAGGAAGCAATCTTTCATCTGAACAAGTGGAAAGTTGTTGTCATCTTAGTTCTCATCAGCACAGAGAGAGAGAGAAACCAAATCACATCATTAAAATTGTAGATTACAACGTCTAATTATTTTGGCAAGCACTGGGTGCTAGAGTTTCAGCAGCCTCTGTGCCGTGGTATCCCCAAGGTTCCCCAATCACTGTCAGAGGACCCACAGCTTCTGCATTATCTACTACAGGTTATTTTACTCCTCAAAAGTACTTTCCTCCTCTCAGGAAGTCTGAGGTTTCCATTTCTCCATATCTATTCCTGATATCTTGTTACATTTTTCTCTAATAAGCACTAGGCTGCTATCAAGTGAAAGCAGAAAAGAGAAGAAAAAAGAAAAAAGAAAAAAGAAAAAAGAAAAAAGAAAAAAGAAAAAAGAAAAAAGAAAAAAGAAAAAAGAAAAAAGAAAAAAGAAAAAAGAAAAAAGAAAAAAGAAAAAAGAAAAAAGAAAAAAGAAAAAAGAAAAAAGAAAAAAGAAAAAAGAAAAAAGAAAAAAGAAAAAAGAAAAAAGAAAAAAGAAAAAAGAAAAAAGAAAAAAGAAAAAAGAAAAAAGAAAAATTTTGTTCCTTTCAGGGCAGGCAGAGCCTGTGATAATTCTTTTTTTTTTTTGTCACATAAATGCATTTCTTCCCTTGAGTGCATGTTTATCACAGGGACTGTTCCTCTACTGAATATCTAATTATCAGAGGCAACACACAGCCTTTTTTGGCACAAGCCAAATCAGGAATGATGAGCTGTAGGACCAATTGGAAATTTTTCAGAGGAGCTGATTTGCTTTGGAAGGACCCAATTAATCCTAAGCAACAGGTTTTGGAGCAAGAGATCACTTCTGGTAGATCCTCTGATGGGTTGCGAGCAGGTTTCCCCACTTGGCTGCCAGTCAGGCACAACCAGACACTGGTCTGGTTTTCTGCTGAATCCCTGGTGCCCCTGACAGCCCATCCCAGGGCCTGATGCTTTCAGGCTACATGGGTCTGGGACATCCCCAATATCCAGAAGTGACACTAGAACTTTGAGCTCCCCATCTTTTGCTCCTGGGGCAGCTGATACTGCTGCTGGGTGATGGGCAGCCATGAGATATAGGCAGGAATCACACCTATATCAGGGAGCTGCTGCAAAGCAACCTGAGGACCCCATTTCACTTGGGAGAGATCATACCTTGCAGCTCCCAAAACAACAACAAAAAACTTCATATTTCGGCACAGCAAAAATAACGAAGCCTGACGGGATGATCGATGTGCTACGAGCTCAAAGAACTGAGTGGCCATTTCATTCCCATCTTGGTTGTAGCTACCAAAGAAGCAAAAAGGTTGAGAAAAGGGGTAATTTTCTCAGCAAGCCAGGCTATTGCGTAGCACAGTGAGTTTTAGGGAATGTCAGCTGGGTGTTTGACTTGGTGTTTGAATTTGCTCACCCACACAAGCATATCTTCTCCCCTCCATGACAGCAAAATTGTTCCTCCCTTTCAAGGCTAACCTCTTCGAGGTAAATGTGAAGCTCAGAGCATACACAGTCACCTCCAAGCTTCCCTTTGGCTTTGCAACCCCTGTGTTTGTTTGGAGGGTGAGAGACACGTTAATGGATAAAATATCAGATTGTCACATCACAGGCTGTGATGACTAACCCCACGTGAGATGAATCACCCATTGAAGGCTGGAGAGGGATGTCCAAGAGGTCCATGCCACCTCTGTTCCATCCCTGCTCTGGGAGTGGGGGGGTAACTGGGAGGGTTGTTGGGGTTCTCAGGGTGTCTCTCCCCACTGAGGGGTCTAATGCAGACCTACAAAATGAAGCTACATTTGGCCATCAGACACATGAAGTTTCCCTCTTGGTGCTTTGCAGGGCAGCTGAACAGGGACATCACGTACAGACAACTCTATTCTTTCCTTGACTGCCTCCAGGTAAGGTCTCTGGCTATAACTTCTGAGCCCCAACTTTCCTCTCAGTCCACTGCTAAATCCCTGCTCCCCATCCTGCCAGGTGAGCCCCTGCAGCGGCTGGCTGACCTCCAATGAGACCCTCAGGAATTTGACCTCAGAGGTAAGTCTTGATGAGGCTGCAACAGGACCCCCCTCTCTTGCACAGACACTCTTCCAGTTTGTCCCTGAGCCAGAGGATACAAGCCTAACATCTCAAAGGCAAGGCATCAACACACTTTTTACTTCCAAAGGTGGGGAGAAGATGTGGAAACATCTGTACCCATCCTTTCAAACATCTCTCAGGCAGCATGGTTAAGGGATTTGTAAATGGATTGCCTTTCCAACCTCTCAGCTGCCCAAATTTATTCTCAAGGGATGCCAAGGTTCATGTTCTCTAAGGAAAAATCATACCTGATTGATAAGAAGGAAAAGGCTTGTCACTCAAGTAGCCCTGGGTATGAAAAGCCAAGTGTGTGGATCTTGCTGGCAGCAGGAGCAGATGCCCAGAGGACGAGCTTTACCTTGTCTTCATTTGGGATTTGTGCTAATCTTCCTCAGACACATTTCTGTGGACTTAATCACCAGATGGTGTGACCAAGGACCATCCAGGCTGAGCGCAGGAACAGCAACAGACGGAACAGAGATGTCTTAAAACTCACCCTAAAAATCTGGTTGCAGAAGTGAATGTCACATCATATCAGCCACTGATTCCCTTATGGTACAAGCTGATTTTTAATCCCAGCACCCTCCTGCAGCCACGTCAAAGAGCCGGTAACCAAATATCATCAAAGGTGGCATCTCTGCCTGTAGTTGTATTAATATTTTCACTCACTAAACAAAAAAAATATGGCCTTAATTTCACCAAGGCTGACATATGTGTTTCATTTTATGCCCTGTCCCTCTTGACTTCAGAGAAGGCAATTAAGCACATCCCTAAATCTTTGCAGGATTGCAGCTTATATATTGGTACCAACAATACAGAACGTGCAGTACACGGAACTTCTGGCCATGAACAATTCATATGTCTGCAGGGGATGAATTAATCTTCTTTCTGAGCCCCTGTCTGAAACCAATTGTCTATGTTATTACCCAAACTGCACAATTTAAATATTTTAGGAGATCCTGATGTCTTTTATGGCTGTAGAAATCACACTGACTATATCAGTTAGGTAGATACTCATAATTTACTCTGCTGAAAGTGAGGGCAGAATTTGGTCTGGATAGATCAGTGTTAACACTCACAACACAGCAGCAGCAAGGAGAATGGGAAAGGAGAACATTTGTCCCCTAGAAAAATTTCAGTTTTCTTTAAGAGGAATGAAAATGACTGGGCTGCCACTCAGCAAGAGGCCTCCGAAACTGAGAAATTCAGAATATTTATATAGGTGTAGAGACACTACTAAGAGGTCTCCAGGAAAATAACCATATGCTGTATTAAACTTATTGCATCAGCTGAGGCCTCAGCGTAACCTGCCGTGATGTATTGCACGGTGGGTTGGGTGGCCCAAAGGCTGGTGGTGCTCATGCAAGTCCATGTTATGATGAAGAACCCTCGTTTCACCTCCTTTCCCCCAAGATAAAAGGGCAATGTTAGCTTTCAAATTCCTGGCTGTGCATCGGTGACAAAAGCTGACTCCATGCAAAGCAGCGTGAGCAGCAATGAATCATCATTCAACCGCTTGGTTTTTGCAGAGAGCTTTACAACTTTCCAATGTCCTGGAAGAAATAGCGAGATCTGAGAAATTTGCCAACTTTGATATTTTCTACATGGATTTCCCACTGAGACAAAGTAAGTTGCTATTTTCCTGTCTTTCTCATGAAGCATTTAGTGAAGTACTGAGCTGCTAATGTGCTCCTCATATTTTAGCTCCATACTGGGAGAAGGGCAGCATAGCCAGCCACCTTAGGTGACTCTGCTGGCAGGGCTGGGACCAAGGGGGGACCCTTAATGCCACCTCCTGGTGTCCCTGCTTGGTGTAACCATGGACCTTTGGCAAGATGAGACCCCATCACCAGCCTCTGAGCCACAACCTCCCTGCTGCTCCCAGCTGCTGGCACCCAAAACCCCAGTGCACACCACAATGGCCATTTGCACTTGGTGGCAGGGACTATTGGTGATGAGGTGACAGGAACAGCAGATGAGCTTCTGCTAAAAATCATAGAATGGTTTAGGTTGGAAGGGACCTTAAAGATTGTCCAGTTCCAACCCCCCTGCCATCAGCAGGGACACCTTCCACTAGACCAGGTTGCTCAAAGCCTCATCCAACCTGGCCTTGAACACTTCCAGGGAGGAGCAGCCACAGCTTCTCTGGGCAACCTGTTCCAGTGTCTCACCACCCTCACAGTGAAGAATTTCTTTCTAATATCTCATCTAAATCCACTCTCCTCCAGTTTATCCACTCTTCTCCAGTTTAAAGCCATTAACCCTTGTTCTATCACTACCTACCCTTGTAAAAAGTACATCCCCAGCCTTCCTGTAGGTCCCCTTCAGGTACATATCTCCTGCTTATCTACTGAAGCTTCTCAGGCTGGTGAAGAAAAGAAAAGACATCTCAAACCTACCTACCAGCGTCCATAAGATTTGGTTTTATTTTTTATTATTGCTTTTATAGAGGGTCATCTAGGCTGGAGATGACATATCTGCAATGGTGAAGGTGGTCTTCATGAGCTGTAGTGTACTACATCACTGACTGGGCTTCACATTGCCTCCTCTGGAATGAGCAGTGCCTCAGGAAGGAGAACTTTTTCTCAGCCAGTTTTCCTGCCTGAATAACACAGCCACTCTCTCTTAACTCGCTGTTTTCAAAAATAGAAGTATTTCTCCCAGGATGAACTGCCTTCTTTCATATGTTCCCTTAAGCACCTGCACACTACTGTAACTTTTGACTTGAAGAGTTTATAAAACTCATCCTTCTGTGATCTTAAGTGGCATTAGGCAAGTACATTAATTAAATCACTTCCTTCTGCAACTGACACTTTGAAAAAAAAAAAATGGGAACCAGAAACTATGCCTCATTACCATGAGCATGAGTGGCTGGTGTCCTTGCAGAGCTGGGGACAGACTCCTGACCCCAGATCCCTCTCAGGAGAAGCACCCTGGCAACACTTCAAAGCATACATCTCAAACACTCCTCTCCATCAGTGCCTGGCTGTCCTTGGAAGCACGAAGCTGCCAAGGCACCTGAGATTATTGCAAAGATCTCATTTGCAGCCAAATCTTATCAAAATTCACAAACTTATTTTATCCTACACGCCCCAATTCAAGAAGCTGATTCTGGGCCTCATGCAGACCATACAGAGGAAGAGGAAGAGGAAGAGGAAGAGGAAGAGGAGAGGAGAGGAGAGGAGAGGAGAGGAGAGGAAGTCTTTCCTTTATCTCAGAGAGGTGGGCTCCACTGTCAAGTTCAATATTGTAGCACAGAGTTTCATTTTGTCCAAGCCTCTTTGTGGTTTTTGCCTCAGCTACTTAATATTTAACAAGTCATTAGAATTTGGAACAAACTACCTGCTGGGTAGGCAAATTACTTTAATAAGTTAAATGACTAACTTTAGGTAATTTATTTGCTTTCACAAAAAAAACCATCTAATATAATTTGCTGCTCTTGATTACATGGCATTAAATAAATGAGGTAAACAAAATCACACATGCACATACAAATATCAGCTCTGAAAGACACTTTGCAAAGTGGAGCAGCCCTTTTGCAGCCCTGGAGGCAACAATTTGAGCTTCCCATCAGGAAAGCTGTCAGTTCGTGAGTGTGCTCAAAAGCCAGCTAAGGCTGTTGACCTACTTTTCTGGTCTCTTTCTGAAGCAAGTGCAAAGCCTCCCTTAAACTCTCCAGACACAAATATTTAGCCATGGTTGCACACTGTGATGAGTACATTGATTTTAGGCTGGCCTGGGCATATATATACATAGCAGCTCCCAGCTTTCTTGGAGTAAAATTTGAGTATACTAGCATTTATTCCAGCTCAGATGTTGCCTTTGGCTGAAGAACTTAGTAGTTCCTTTCAGAAGTGGTGCAATAAATAAGGGGATAGGGGCTGCTTGTTTGGGCTTTTTCTTGGTGTGGATGGGAGCAAGCTCTGGTCTAGTCTAGTCAAGGCAATAGGCACTTTTAAGACAATTTTTGGACATACTCTGTTGGTGGGTGTTTGTTCAACTGTCCTAGGATTTTTGTAGGTCAGGTATAATGGTCTAAATTCACCTATCTTGATATAAACTTTACTTATCTTACTGATTCCTCTGCTATTTCTAGCACTGGAACAGTAGTCCCTCTACAAAGCAAAACAGAATACACAGCCTCGTACTCAACATACAATATCATGTACAAGGAGTTAGAGAAGTTCACTCTATACATCTATAGGTGCATTTTGTGGAGTAATCTAATGGGAATGTATGTTGTGCCCAACATATTTCAGATCTGAAAGAAAGCTCCAAGCCTTGTGTCTTGAAACAGGTTACTTTGGGTGCTGACTCAAGCATCTCAAGTAGGTTTCTATAATCAAAGAGGGAATATCACCCTTCTGTGAATTCAAAGTTAGTATGGGGACCCAGACATCACTTTTTTCGACCCAACAAACTTTGGAGCCCAACAAACAGCGATGAGTCTAGGTCAAAACTGTGGTGCTTGAATGGCAGACATTTTCCTCCTGACACGATGCCTGCATAATGCTATGAAGAATTCTTAATCTGTCATCATAAAAGGAATTATTGAGTTTACAGTCTGTTAATGCCATATCTACTAGTCCCATGTTTGATCACTGCACAGCCCTTTTGAAGAGAGAAAGCTTTTTTACTCCTCTAATGGCCCTGGGGCTTAGAGCACAACATCATTTGCAGTGAATGTCATGCTTATGTAACTCAAAAGGTTATTTGGTTGGAGTTGAAAAAGACCACTCAGAAGAGAAGTAACTGAAAATGACAGTCTATTCCTGCAGACATCAGCCCACGTGAATATTATGTTGCCATCTCTTTCTCTGAAAAGCAACATTTTCTTTATCTCTTTGGTGGGTTCTTTTTTTTGCATGAGCGAAGATGCAGCTAAAATGGGAAATGCAAAAGTATTAAATCAGTATTAAATAATTTACAGCTTTACTTGCCACAGCATCCATCTTAGTTGGGAGGGAAAGTGAATTGTTTTATGATCATTTATGTTCAAAGCTTTTCCTTGCATAAATATCACAGAGGAAAAAAAATTAATAACAATAAAGGCTTAAATACTGCCCCGAGGAGAGGGGATTGTACTGAATATTGGCTCTGACAACTGTGTATGAATTATCAGAATCTTCACGCAGAGCTGTTGTGTGCTTAAAAATAGGGATGGCTCTTTGAGGAAGAGGGGGGTACAGATCTGAGTGGGCACAGAGGTGCTCCCCGGTGGTAACCCCTCTGCTCTACGTTGTTTGCAGCGGCTGAGGAGTGGCAGAAGATGGGAGGCCAGCCCTGGCAGCTGATCGAACCAGTTGATGGCTTCCATCCCAGCCAGGTAAAAACCAAGGCCTGGGAGGGAGATGGGATGCCAGCACCCACCACTGCCCGAGGCACCCGCTCGGCATGTCCTGGGGATGCAGGTTTGGAGGATTCCTCTTTTGAAACAGATCACAGAATACCAGGTTGGAAGGGACCTCGAGATCACCTGGTCCAACCTTGTTTGGCAAAAGCACAATATTGGCTTTAACCCCAAAGCTGAGATCTCCATTTCAGCCACCTGCCCTCTGCTCTAACTCCTGCAAGGTCTTCTGCTGCTCTCCTTCACTTATTGACCAGTACCCTGGCTAAACAGGTCTCGAGCCACAAAACCAGATCCTTGCCACGTAGTCTGGCTACCAGCTTGCTCGAACACACACAGGAGCTTTGCAGGACCAGGGCAGTGATGCAGCACTGGGAAAACCCAAGAAACCCCCTCTAGCCCTACCCCTGTCCTGCAGCCTCCAAGGCCATGAGGTTCCCTGTACAGCTTTCTTTTTGAAGCTCTACATTTAAATTGATTTATGCTCTACAGCCACATATTATGAAGAAGCTTTCTCCCTCTTGCTTGGCCTCCAAGGACAGGTGGCAGGGCAAGGTTTACAGTCAGAAATAAATGAAAAGGAAGGAGAAGCAGCTGCTCCACTGTAAGTCCTTGCTTGGGTTCAATAACCTACTGTGGGGTTGCCTGGTTGCCTTCATATTCACTTCAAAGTAGTTTTTTTCTGACTCTGTGAAACACGTGGAGAGGGCATGTTCTGCCATCAGTTACAAACAAAGCCAATTAGCTTGCTATGCACTAGCTTCAGATTTCAAACAGGTACGCAAACCAAAGCAGCAGCCAAGATTCCCCAGACCATGCTGAGAAAACCTGTGCACAAACTGAAACCCCACGTTCAGCCTGGCCAGGGCTGTCCCACCAGCCCCACCACCCTCAGCCCCAGACCTGAAAACCACCCCTGTTTCCCAAGCTTTTCAATCTTGACTCTTTGGAGCAAGAATTAGGCTGGGCTAAATCACGAGGGGACAAATTGTGGGAGGTGGATGAGATGGAGAGGGGTAGCAACAGCAGAGCTGGTTTTCCCCTCTCTGCTAGAGGGCTCTGCCCAACAGCAGCTGCTCTCCAGCCCCTACACTGAGCAATGGGTCCAGAAGTTTCTTGCTACCTGCTGCTACCAGGGAAACGTGCCCTCCAAGCAGCCAGCCCCACTCCCACCATGCCCGCCCTGCCCAGAGGCACAGGACCGAGCAGCGGCTGGGAGGGGAAGTGACAATCCTCAGTGATGCTTTTCTGGTGCATGCTACCATGTGCCATGGCCATGGTCTCTGTGCCATGATGACAGCAGTTTCACAGAATCACTGAATTGCCTGGATTGGAAAAGACCTTTAAGATCATCCAGTCCAGTCATTAACCTCACACTGACAAGTCCCCGACAAACCCATGTCCCTCAGCACTATATCTACACGACTCTTCAACCCGTCCAGGGATGAGGACTCCACCACTGCCCTGGGCAACCCCTGCCAATGCCTGAGAACCCTTTCAGCAAAGAAATTCTTCCTCACATCCAATCGCAACTGCCCTTGGTGCAACTTGAGGCCATTTCCTCTTGTCCTCATTTCCTCTTGTTTGGAGGAAGCTGTTGTCTAGGGCACGGCTGCCTTCCTCTACGCTCCTGGCTGCACGTTCTCTTCCACCCTGGCATAACCGAGACATGCAAGCAAACCCCGCCATGTCACCCAGCTACCAATGGTGCCACTTGGCTGGTCCCCCTGCTCAAAAGCATGGGGTGAATTTCTGGACCGGGTTTATGACGTGAGCTAACACTCCATATATATTCAGCCCCATCACCGACTCGATGCGGTGCTGTCTTGCTTACGGGGGAAGAAAAAGAGTAGTTCATGGAGAAGCACTTTAACAGGAGCACGTTGCAAGCACTGATGGATTCCAACATTTCAGCAGCTTCCTCGTTAACTGTGCCATCAGCTGAGCCAGTGCAGAATGGCAGATAGAAGTCTAAAGCCAAAATATGCGCTCCAGTTGCTATCTTTTACATCTCTGTTGGTCAATCAAAGCAATAAAGTGGCTTGCTTAGCCTTGCCAAGTCAAAAGAGCCTCCTGTTTGAAGGACTTCATAACAGAAATCCTTGCCTGGCTACCATGCAGTACCATGAGATAGCTACAGGAAAGTATAAGCTCACAGCCTGGGAATGTGGAGAAAATGCCTCTGGATTTTTTGCTGCAGGCAAACTTTTGCAAGGAAGCAATTAGAGAAAACTTGGCAGATGAAACGAGAGTGAAAACAGTGATGAAATGAACCCCATTCCCAACCCTGCCATCTGGGGAAACTGTGGAACAGAAAGAGGCTGGAGTGAAGAAGAAAAGGTCCTTGTGTTATTTTTCTGTCTTACCCTGAGGCTTCTTATAACCCCCAGCAACAGGCCACAGAGGGAGCCAAGCTCATCAGATCACAGCTTTTGTCCAGGCCCACATCCCATATCCCACCAGCAGCTGGAAGGTAGCACAGAGTTGAAGGCAGCAAGTATTTCTCCTAAAAGGATCCTGCCTAAGCCCAAAGAAAACTACAAAAGGGCATTGAAGGGTGGCTGCAAACCCACACACAGCCCCCATAAAGCTGAGCTGCAGAATCCGGCCAGGTGCTGCCTATTTCACTCCCTCTGGACCTGGCATCCTGCAGCGGTGGGGATCTCCCTGCCTGCTCTTAGGATGACGTCAGTGTTTTTTCTAGGTACGTTTTCCCTTCCAGTCAAGGTGCCAGCTGTAGATATGCCTCACTTCAAGTGAGTTAGTGCCCTTCTAGGATTTATTAATTAGCCTTATCCAAACATCCACCGCTTTAAATCCATTTTTCTTTTCCTGCTGGTGTACAGACATCTGTTATCAACATACCACTATTGGGACTGAGACACAGCACTCTGCTCCAAAAGAGGGACTCTCAGGAAAAATAAGGGGAAGAGTGAACAGCGTGATATTTAAGAGAGATTATAAACCATCCATTCCCTCCTCCTACTAGTTTTATTTAAAGTTTTACTTTATAGTGAGGAGAATGCCTCTGGCCAGGTATGGCTTTCATACCAGATAGAGCTGCCTCGTGGGAGAGGACTGATGCCATGCAGCTCATCAAGGACAGGCTGAGAGAGTTGGGGCTGTTCAGCCTGGAGAAGAAAAGGCTTCGGGAAGATCTTATAGCGGCCTTCCAATACCTGAAGGGCCTACAAGAAAGCTGGGGAGGGACTTTTTATAAGGGCAGGTAGTGGCAGAACGAGGGAAAATTGCTCTAAACCAAAAGAGGGGAGGTGTAGATTAGATATGAGAAAGAAATTATTTCCTGTGAGGGTGGTGAGACACTGGAACAGGTTGCCCAGAGAAGCTGTGGCTGCTCCTCCCTGAAAGTGTTGAAGGCCAGGCTGGATGAGGCTTTGAGCAACCTGTTCTAGTGGAAGGTGTCCCTGCTGATGGCAGGGGGGTTGGAACTGGATGAGCTTTAAGGTCCCTTCCAACCCAAACCATTCTGTGATTCTAAGTGAGTGGAGGCTCTTACTTCAGCAGCTATTCCCCACGCCTCACCAACCACTTGACAAATAAATCTAACAGATAAGACCTAAACTGAGCATTTCTACTGAATTTTCTCTCTGAAGATCTCAAAGCATCTAACAAACATTCAAAATTTTTTAAATTGAGCAGCACTCTGAAGCAAGTGTAAACATTTTAGTACTTGCCTTTGGAGGCAGAGAAACTTTGAAGTTTAGGATATAAGAACTGCAGTGACCCTCTCTGCCAAGGGTGAGCTGGAGAGGTACCATGATCCCTGGTCCTTATGATATAGCAGTGGGCAGGATAAGCTGGTGTCTGGTGCCAGCCCCTGGATTTCACCTGCCTTTTATCTGCTGCCTCTTTAATAACAATGAAAAAAAAAATCTGCTGGCATAAACATGGCAGAAGCAGGTGTCAGCATGTCTATCCAATAGTCCAGCCGTGCAGGAGGGAAAGAAAAGGAGGAAAAGAAAGAAAAGGAGGAAAAGAAAGAAAAGGAGGAAAAGAAAGAAAAGGAGGAAAAGAAAGAAAAGGAGGAAAAGAAAGAAAAGGAGGAAAAGAAAGAAAAGGAGGAAAAGAAAGAAAAGGAGGAAAAGAAAGAAAAGGAGGAAAAGAAAGAAAAGGAGGAAAAGAAAGAAAAGGAGGAAAAGAAAGAAAAGAGGCAACACTCACTTTGTCCCATTGCAGCCATTCAGTTGTTTCATGTATTGGAAAAGGCCAGGTTAGGACACTCAGGCAGGAAAAACTATCCCACATAGTCCCCACTGCAGGCAGTATTTGATATTTATACCCTGGAAAAAGGCACAAATACTAAGTGCTCATTTGTTCAGCCAGGCCCAGAACTACATTCCCTTACTGCAAATGTCTTGGGGAGGAAGGGGGGGTTTTTCTGCATGTTTACCTGTTGCAGAACAGAAAGCTGCAAACAAGACACTCATTCTTGGCATAACTGCCTTCCTCGGAAGTTTCAAAGCTAAAATTGGGCTCCGTGACGTTTTCTTTCCAAAACACCCAGCTCAGAATTTCCTCCATAGAAGAAATGGGAAAATTCAGACCATTTACTTTTGACACCCAAAAGCAAAACACATCATTCAGTCCTCCTATATTCCCTCTGAAACATCATTCCCCAAAATCTGGCTCAGTTATCCTTGGAAGGAATCTGACTTTCTCTTCCTGCTAAAACCTGCTGACTGCAATGGAAGCCCAGGGATGTTATTTTTTTTTCCCAGCATCTCTCCCTTACTATGAAATCTCACTGCAAACTGTTCTGAGTGCCAGATGGCTTCAAGGACATTATTTCTCTCTAGAACAGCTGATGGCTTTGTTTGGATGACAGGGTCATGCAATTTCAACAGGATCCTGCATAAAACGGCTTCGTTTCTTGCTTTTATGAAGTTACCAGGGAGAACACTAAAGCCCTGAGCATCAGAAACTGGAACCCGAGACGATTGGAAGATTCTTAATGATTATGTACAGGCAGGAAAGCACAGCTTGAGTGATGAGCTTCTCCCTCTTCTCTCTCCTTAAGACATACAAAGTACATTTCAGATAAAAAAAAAAACAAGGAGGAAAAGCTGAAGTGATGCATATTAGATTAGTTGGGCATTTACACTTTGCTGAGAGGCATTCCCATTGCCACATTGGTGCAGGAGGAAAAAATAGACAGAAGCTGCTGAAAAAAACCCCACAGCTACCTCCCAGTTGTGGTCACTTAGGGCTCTATGAGGAATGGGTGATATTTTCTTTTAAAAAGCCACTTAGAGGTTGCTGTCCTCAAAAAAAAAAGTTAGTTGCAAAAAACATACAAATTGTAGCAGGTCTCAAAGCACAAGAGCTTTGGAATTTAAAAAAAGACCTACAAGAAAAGTGATTTGGTTAGAGGTTACGGTCCAACATGTGTCTATGCAGAAGATTCTTCTTTCTGCTGAGATCTCCTAAGTGCTGGCAAGAAACAGCTGCATTACCAAGGCACAAGAAATCAATAGTATTTGTGCTGTTTGCAGATTGCTGCTGCCCTTGGAACAAGCGTCACCTGGCAGAAGGCATTACATGAATGGCCTCAAGTGCTTGGAAAGGAGAATCCATTCAACGACCAGATTGAAGCTATATTCAAAGATCAAGGTGGACACTGATTTCCAGACTGCCGGAGCCCTGACGTGGTTTAGGGTAATGCTTCCCAGTACATTCCACAAAACAAGATGATTCAAGACACACACACACAAAAAAAAGGGGGAGGGCAAGTTACCCGAGCCAGTAGCAGTGGACTTAACAGCATTTTCAGTTTGTATCTCACCTGCACAAGCAGACTATGCTTTTTCTGTGGAGCTACAAAAATAAACAAAATTAAAGGATACCTGTCAGCCAGACCATTTATTGCACTGGTTTGCAAATTCATATGATTTTTTTTTTCCCCATATATAGCAAATTCTTAGCCCTACTTAATTTTTATTTTCCCTGCAGAATATTTCTGAGCTTTCCATTTGTACTGTTTCAACTGTGAATCTAATCCCAAACTCATTATATTGCTCTAAGTTGTGCGTATGTAATTGCCCTGACTGTCAATACATTATTTAGCTGCTATTTGCTTACTAAAATGTGCCAGGAATAACAAGGTGCTAGAACTTCGATTTGCCTGGCAGCATGAGTGCAGGCTGACTGAGCACAGGTTCTCCCCCCCAAGTTAGTAACTTGACATCCCATCATGTATTTAAAACAAGTTGCTTTTTCAAGCTTTAATACATCTTGGCTCTTTTGCTTCCAAGAAAAAAAAAAAAAAAGATATAGCCAGTCCTGTACCTTTTACATGCATGACCCAGGGAATCACTGAAGGTACTGAGCAACCCTTATTTCATAAGCAGAAACAAAGGTTGAGAATTAATACTATTTTTTCATCAGCTTATCTGATGTTCTTTGCAAAATAAATAAACAAATATATATATTTATATACATAAAAATTACAGACAGCTTTACCCTAGTTGCAGTCCTGCTGGTGATGAAGGGATCAGACAACAAAAATGTCACTAATTAATTATACACGGAGAAAAAAAAAAGCTGTTAAATAGAAAGTGTTAACATGACATCATAACTAAAACTCATCCAAATTAGCCAAAGCTCAGGTAGATTTGCTCTGCTCTTCACTCTGAACAGGTCCTTTGCGTAAGGTTGTGTCAGCTGTGACCCAGCTCTTAGACTGTGGTCCACCCTAAAGGAGATGGTCTGGTCTGGACCTCGTCACCCTGGCCATGGCTGTAGGAGTTGCATCTGCTCAGTACTTTGGATAGGCAGAGGATGACTTGGCTAACGCTATTTCAAATTGAAACACGTATTATTGCCATCCTACATCCTCTGCCTTTTTTTTTTTTTTTTTTAGAGTACAGTCAATGCTGCATCTTCTATTAAGACAGAAATCCCTTGGAGACAACTACTAACATTTAAGGAAATATTCAAGCCTCCCCCTTTAGGAAACCAAAAGGGAATACATTCCTTAATTAAACAATACTTATTAATAAGGCCCCAATTTGTTCAAAGCATTTAGATGTTACTAAAAGATCCAGTCTCCCAAGAAACAGTTTCAACTCCTCTGAGGCATGTCTGAGGAAGATTATTTAGTATTAAAAGTAGGAAAAGGAAATGTACTGCTTACTGTACAAACTCCCTCCACCCCACACCAGAAGATTTGATACACACTGGTCAAGTAGAACACCTTAAAACTATTATTTATTACCTATTCGAGCTTCCTATCTTTCATTAAAAACAACACAAGGACAGAAACAAGTGGATCCATGTGGTTTTACTATAGACCAAGTACAACACAGACAATAATTATAGAATATCAAATAATTTCCTCTACACCAAAATACAGCAATTAAAAGGGGGGAAGGGAACAGTATGTGTTTAAAAGACAAATTTTCAGACAATCTCATTGCAAATTATTGTATTTTATTTGAGGCTGGGATTTAATAACACCAATTAGGAGTTTTACAAGCTAGTAAAACTGAAATTTTCTCAGCTAAAACAAGCTTCATTGCCCAGAGCAAAGCATTTTCCATTTATAGACTTTCTTATTAGTGAACATCTTGCATTTCTGAACAATGGGGGGGGGGAAAGCTTTCTTATAAAATTAGAACAGCATCTTCTCCATCAGACAACCCCAAACCCCCAAGCGGAATCCCAAAGCAAAGCTCTCAGATTTGCCCACTGCAGTTGCTCTGTGTTTGATCTGGGATCTCCGAGGGACTCAGCCCGGCTGACGGAGCACTAACCAAACCACATATCCTTGTGCCTCAGTTACAAATTAAAAAGGAAGCTGTGTGCAGGGACTTGATTTGTAACTAGTGCAGGAACTATTTGCAAATAAAGATGAATTTGGGGCTGATTAAACCATCAGCTTTTACAACCATTATGTCTCTCCATTATTTCAAAGAATGCAACAACCAGCTGAAGATCTGCACCCCCAACCATCAATCACTTACCAGTACCACTGTAAAAAAAATAAGTCTTATATTTAAACAAATGCCTCTGAAAAAATTTTATTTATCCTAAAGTAGTAACAAATTATGGATCCTATTCTGTTAGTTTAACTGTCTCCTGGTGCTTAGATCGCTTGAAGGTAACAAATGCGTGGAGAAGAGAGAAATAAACAGGAAGATAATAAAAGCTTATCTTTGAAAGCTAAGTATAGTTCCATGAAATTCAAACTTTATAGCAGTACAGATCTCTAGAAGGAAAGGTCTATCAGGTCTTTTTTGGGAGAGTTAAGAGCACATGAATATGGAGGGGATTATATCACTGGCTAGTTCCCATGCACTGCAAATAGGAAGGGTTTTTTTTTTTATGTTATTCTGTTCATAAATGTTTTTTCAAAACTTAAAGCTTGTTTAAAAGTAGACAGTAGAAACTATTTTTGAGGTATAGAACATCTACAGCTACCTGAAGTTATTTGAATTCATGCAGTTCCAGCCTCTTCCAAAAGAGATCTGCTACAAAGATGAAAAAATACATTTGCCAGCATTTGTGAAAATGTTTCCAGAGCTCACCTTTGGAAGAGCTGGGGAAGGCAGGAGGAGAGGAGGCACACAGCAGTGCAGGTCATTGCCACCAACAGCTCCTGTCTGGAACTCCCCATCCGGGTCAGCTTTTCTAACCTGCATCACTTCTGACACTTCATACCTTTCCTTGATGAGGATAGTTTTTCTTCTTGGGCAATAAACAAACACAGATTAGTTTCTACAATGGATGACGGCCCAATTAGCCTGAATAAAAACAGGTCATTCCCTTAGATGTATCTTAACACCTTTCTATGGACTCATTTAATGATTTTTATATTTAATAATTTTTATTAAAACCCACTTGGAAGTTCAAGTAAATGGCCTATCACAGATCCACAGATGAAATTTGCTCTTCCACTCACTGTCCATATGTTGCTACTCTGCTGCTGTGTGTCTATCACAAGACCAAAGAACCATCTCTACCCTCCATACTTGATGAACAGCTGGTCTCCAGCAGCCTCTACATTCATATACATCCCAACCAGTTAATGGGAAGTGCCCACGGACAATCCAGCCTCCTGCTACAAAATTTAGTGCTAGCTACCCCTGAAGCATCACCTGATCTTCTCCAATCAAGTGGTATTTGGGATACACATACTGAATAGAATCCTTTCTTAAACATTGTGTGGAGTCCAGCTTTTATTCTTCAGCCTACAAACTAGTATCTCAAATCCATAGCTGACATTATAAAAAAAAAAAACAGAAAGGGTTTTATTCTTTATTTTAAATGAATAAAATATATATCTCAAATACATAGTTTGGAAATATTTAAAGAAATCAGAAAAAGAAAACTAGATTGAAAAGCAGAAGTACAAAAGTGGCAGGATGAAAACAGTATAAGCTAACAGAATTTAGTGTTTCAAGTGCAAGTATATATCAGCAATAGCAATTTTAAGTATTCCACTACTGCATTCACAAGAGTGAAGTAATGAGATAGTATTTCACTAAGCCCAGAGAAAAACTGTGAAAACTGCAAGTTTAACTGAGAAGTTTTGCCATTTTAATGATGGGTCTGAAGTACTGTTTTTATCAGCATTTATGGACATGACTATGAGGGGGAGGAAGACCCATATGTTCAGCCAGCAGAGCATTAGTTGGTATATAGCAGCTTTGTAGTGTCTTACAAAAAAAAAAAAAATTAAAAAAGCACTTTTACAGCTATTCCTGGTTCTCAAATGGAGAAGAATTCTGGCTTGTACAAACCATAAGTCCCAGGAAATACTGACATATACAATCCTAAAACTATTTTTTTTCTCTTTATGGGTTGTTTTTTTTTTTTTTATATAGCAGTCCTAATAAAAATATTCACCACCTTTCTTTCATTTCTATCAAAGTGCAATATACTGCATACATAATTCCACACCTGTAAACCACACAGGATACATGCCATGCACTTATCCATACCAGTTTGTATGAGAAATTGCAAGAGAAGAATGCATATATTGCACATGTCTTTTGTTCTGACCACAAGGACAATGTGCAAGCAAGAAATACCTATATTGCATGTTGTAGAATAAAATTTACTAGTAACTTCTGTGCCTGATTATTAAAAAACAACCCTCCAATATTAAATCTTGTGCTTCAGCACCATCCTTGTTAGAGAACTCTGAGCTATTGTTTCTTTCAGGGAGCTGAGTTATCTAGAAAGCTTGTTTTTTCACTAGCTTGCCCGCCCTGCTTCCTGCCCTGAAGTGTGATTTCCTGCAATAATTTACTTGTTCAAAGAAAAGAATGTACTTAGCTAAACAAGACTGCCAAAAAAGGAGTTACATAAATATTTAGCACATTTAGAAACAGATAATTGCTTCCTACGATACTCAGAAGCTAGTAAAAACATTTTAAAATTCTTAAAGTGAAATAAAAATACTGCATAACATACTCCTGTATAATGTTAAATACTCTCAAATTTAAAGCATAAGTGATCCAGACTTCCCACATTTTCATTTAGGTTCTTTTTTTTTTGTGTAGCTCATGTGGGTTTTTGCATACATATTTTCTTCATGTTTCCCTTTTAGATTTAAAGCTTTCCAATAGGTTTGTAACAAGCATCAGGTTGCCACATGCGAAGGTCAACAAGGACTTGGTTGAGCTTTTGCATCCAAAGGTTACGCTCTTCTTTAGTATCAGCAGACAACCAGTTCCTAAAAGGCAAAGAACCCAGTGGTTTAAGATATGTCTTTCTCTGCCTCTACTTAGTTATTCTGAAAAATGACAAGCTGATCATACATGGAAGCCCAAATAGCAGGGGGAAAAGAAAAAAAAAGTAGTAAAATATTCTGCAGTCCTGCTACCTGGCATCCCTACTTCTGGAAAAGTTGAGTTCTTTGTCCTCAGAAGACTGAAACTGGACATCAAGACAAGTAGGACTAAAAGTGAACCAACCAGGTTAAGTGTCATCCCAAAGTCTTAGCATTTAGAAAAGGTTTGCGTTGTCATGTTAAAGTTGTAAAGCTCCTATGTTATTAAAACTATCACTTGAGGCACAACACCCCTCCCACGTGCATCCCATAACCTCCCACAACCTTTACGATTTTATCCACTCACTTTGTAACACAGAGCGTGTCTCTGCATTGGCTGACGAGAGTCTCTCTGTCATCTTCCCTCTGAGGACGGACAGTTATTAGTTCAAAAGTGTTGGGACGGGCACAGAACTCCCTGTTGGCAGGTTCAATCTGATGATTAGTGCAGTTTGCCAAGTTTATCCGGCCCAAAGGATGCTGAAAGTAGAGTTAGTGCGTTGGGTCAAGAACACCTCAATCAAGAGTCCTTGTGAACAACATCTGCTTTGACAATTTTTGCCATATTAACTGAACTCCTCACCCAAATCAATTGCTCCACATGAAAAAAAAGAGAGTTTCTACTTTTTCTGTTTAAGAGCCATAGCAGAAGCAAGATAATATCAACAATGGAACACGCCCTGGCTCAGCCATGTACAATTCAGCTAACAAATCCACCCCTTACCAAAGGCTTAGGCTCTAGAAAGATATATATCCCCTTTTCCTTATTCCTTACAAAAAAAAAAAAAAAGCTTTTAAACTCTCAGATTCAATGGAACTTCATAATAAAATCCAAATTGACAGAGTAAATCCCATCAAAGCCTACGGAAAACAATCACTTTAGGGATGCTTGCATCATTCTTGTCAAAGCCTATAACCATATGAATTCATCTTCAAACATGCAGCTAAGGTGCCTAAGTGCGACCTCCAGCTGCTTTAGTTCCCTCTTTAGCCAATAACTAGACCCCTTCAAAGAGCATTTCAAATCTCAAGGCAGTTACCTCTTTCTGCTGACTACAGACAGAGGCTCAGCTGCATGCCTCAGGTTGGTTATAGACCTTGGCTCTGATTCTTCACACCTACAGAATACCTCATCATAGGCTGCTCTGGGCTTGGAGAGGAGTTTGATATTTATTGGGTGTGTTCACTATATTGAATATAGTGAACACCAATTGATATATTGGGTGTGTTCACTATACTATTCCATAGATAGTTAAAATAACCCAAATTAGAGGAAAAAGAATGATAGTTTCATTTTGAGAACATTAAGTAACAGGTTGCACATTGGTGATACATGTACAGTCATGGGAAATTTATTAAAAAACCCAACATTCAACAGTTTAAAGCAATCATTACCTAATATTACTGGTATTTCTGAGTTATCTCTGCATGGTAGAACAGATATAGTAGGGGTAAGGGGAGTTTAATAAATAAAGGGGAGTTTAATTTAATAAGGATAGAGTTTAATATTGTTGTAAATGAGAGTATATCAAAGGAATATAGCTGACCCTTTCTCAGAATGATAATAAAATAAGTCTAGAAGATTTTCAAGAAAATAATTTGGAAAACAAACCAAAGGTGCTTTCTTGCAGATAAGAACAAAATAGGAACCTTTTTGTTGCTTAACTTAATTTTTTTATCTATCTTCTATCACAGTAGGCAGAGATTTTTCCCCTCTCTCCTGGCAGGGAAAGAAAGTACATTGATATATTCTGGCAATGTCAGCTATCAGCATATGGTCCTCCTCTGTTAGCAGGGAGGGAACTAAACTCAGACATCTGGATTGGCATAGAAGACCCAAAAGGACCAGAGTTTGCCACAGAGTTTGGGAAAGAAAGTGTTCTGCCAACAAACAAGCAAGTGTTTAATGGTAAACTGTTTAAGTGAGTCAGAAAAACCCTCTTGAGAGCAGTCTTTAAAAGGACCTGGAAGTGTTTCAGTACAGACTGTAGGAACAGGCTTAGGAGACAAGAAGGTTCACCTCAGTGACAGATGACCCTCTGATTTGTCTCATTAGCAAGACACTAACTTAGGTTTCTGTGAGAACCATTTAAAAAGTGTAAGTTTCAGCTGTAATGTGGAGCTGCAAGAAAACAACGACTGCAAATACGGTAGTCCATAATTACAGCTATACTTCTGCAATATAGGATTGCCCACTTGAATTCTGTACTACATTAAGTGTTACAATCATTTTGTTTAAAACTTAAGGGAGCTAGATACAGCCTGCTTGTTAAGCTGTACAAGTCTGATCAATTTCAATTAAATAATTAGTCGATTCACAAGTGCAATGGAAAGCCTTAAGACTAAAGGGAAAATTAAATATGGATCTTCCTCCACTTTTCTCCTCTCCCACTAGATAAAGTGTTCAGTTTCTAAGTTTGCCTTGATTTAGGTCAGATTTATGAAGATGAGTCCCCTCCATTCCCCAAAAAAAAAAAAAAAAAAAAACAAAAAAACCTTCTGGGCTTGAATCTCATGCTTTGAATACACTTACTTGTTTTAAGCCTGAACACTACTGCCACTAAAAATGAACAGCTAGTTGTGTCAGGTACTACAGAACTTCAGACTTGAGCTTCATAAAACAGCGTTACCTTTCGTTTTTCATCATCTGGGTATGTCCAATAAGAGATACAATTTCCAGACAGCACACACCAACGCCTATGCCATGCTCCAAATCCACTGACATCTTCAAACATAGTCTTAAAAAAAAAATATAAAAATGGAATAGCATTACACCCTGAGCTTCATCTATAGTCAACTATTTTTTTTGTACAAGAATGGTTCTGTAAGTACAACCCTTCATAGGAGTAAATATAAGAGAAGGAAAAAATATATACTGGGGGAGACTTCTATTAGTTCAGTATATTTATTTTCCAGATAGCACAGAAAATTAGCTTATGCTATCATTCTCAAGTTTGCAGCCTTTTGCTCAAAATGCACCTATCACTGCTATTTCAAATTACCAGATTTCCATGTTGACAGTGGCAACTATTCCCATTATTTTAAGATAATGTGGGGTTACTTAAAGCAGATACAGGGTGAGTGGTTCACAAGACATATTAGTATCACGTAATTTATTATGATTATGTATATAAATAATCTTTGACTTAAAATTCAGGGTTATAAAATGTTTGTCTGTTTTGCAGACCACACTCAGGAGTCCAGCCAGTTTAAAATAAATTAGAAATAGATTTTTAAATGTTTGTGTTTGTAGTTATTTTGCTGGATGCAAGACTATGGCATTTTCAAGCCCCATTTCCTTAGTACTGGAATGGAAAGTCCAGTATCTGCCTCCTGGTCCTGATCCCTCTTGAACTTGTACAGAACTTTTTCTTCCAATTAATTTGTGTGTTGTGTTTTTCACTCTTCACAATTCACATAATTTTTAACAGTGCAGGGAGTTTCCAAACCTTTACTGTGAAAAAATCTAATGTGCATGTACACCATTTTTCAGGTTTTAAATATTGTATAATAGAAGTAAAGAAAGACTTTCCTAAATTAGTACACAAAAACAGGCGACAGCAAATACCTTAAGCATGCAAAATGTTTGCATCTAATGAAGTCTGTTCAACTTAAGTAAAGGGAAAAGAGACAGAACTGCTCAAAAAGAGTCTAAAGAAATTCTGATTTCTGAAAACACCAGAACAACAGCAACTTAATGTTTTGCTGAAGTATTTTCATAGCACATTTGCTGCCATCTGCTGGACACTGTCTCAACAGCACCATCCATTAGGCCAAAAGACCAGCAAAATTGTCTAAATTTAATTTTAGAGTGAAATGCTCAAGATGTTTCTGAAAAAAATACTGTCAGTTCCTTGCAAGTCAAAGTCTGAATAGAGTTAAAAAAAAAAAAAACAAACCACAAACCAATTTCTTCTATGGAGAATTTGTTTTCACTAGACCATTAAAAAAAATCCAGGATGTCCAGAAAGAGTTTCTGGCAAAGAAATTACTCTCATCTCACATCACAGATTATAGTAAGAGGTTAACCAAAGTTCATAATAATAATTGAACAGTGTGTAGAAGAAACAGATATACAAAATCCTAAAAGGTAGCTTTAATTCAGGCACGTTTAGAAGATAAACTAGGAAAGTTTTGAGGTCTGGTTCAGAGGGAAAAAGTTCTGAGGTCTGGTTCAGAGGAAAGAAAGAAAAATCAAGTCAGTTTTAAGCTTCACAATCAGTACAATACAAGTGTTACGTTAAAAAAAGTGACTACATTTAATAGGAGCAGGGAAGGAATTTAAATTGAATACCTTACCAAGAACCCTTTCTCCTCCACAGAAGAGTCCACTTGGCATTTTAACTTTAGATATATATGACCTTCCAAAGGAGACAAAAAGGGAACCTGCAAAAAAATAAAACAATTAGTCACTTAATTTTGACACCTCTCAACTCTCTCAGTTCAAGCAAGCCACCTGCACCGGGATGTTAGCACTGTCTTGTTCTTAGGATCTTCAGCGGGAAAGAAGCAGTCAGTCTCAAGCAAGACAGTAATAATCACTTTTTGTTTCAAGTTCATTTAGAAGCTTTTCAAGATTTATTTGCTTATTAGTTTGCTCAGGACAGATGCACAAACATGCTTCTACCCAGAAAAACAGGCACTCTAAGCATGGTTAAAAACAACACAAGGCACCAGTCCACATCCTGCAAGCTTCTGCCTCAGTTTGACATTAAAATGTTTAGAAAATATCAAAGTGGGCTTAAACAGAATTGGTATTTGGATGCCATAAGCATTTTTGGCAGATACTGATGTAGCAGTGCTTACTCTTATAAATATTTGTATTAAAAAAATCTAGAAGGGGAAAAAGTAATGAAAGCAGTTCTCAGCTGGCACTCAAGGTGTTGAAGACCTGTGTTAAGTCATTTCTAGAGGAACAAGAGAGGTTCCAAGCCTTTCTTCTACCACTAAAAAGAACAGCTTAACTACTGTACCAGAGATTGGTTAGATAGTTATTCAATATTCAAGAGTTTTGAGTAGGAACATGCAACAAGAGCTGCCTCTGGACTTCCCCCAATCCCTCCACACACAGCACCCCATTACATCGACTGCTCCCACAGTTACTGTCAAGAAATCACATCCCTTCTTTATTGCCAAGCTAAGAGACAAATTGCTAATACAACAAGCAAATGATGATCTGCTGGACATTCTACATAGTGCATTTTGTTGCCAATCTGAATAAGCAAAAAAAAAAAAAAAATCAGAAACTTTGGTGCTTTGTCTTACTAGAAAAATCAGAAAGGTTGGTGGTGCTGCTCAAATACAAAGAAGAACCATTTGCCAGGGAACAGGCATGTGTACACAATAATGAAAGTTTCTAGAGCCAAGGAATCAACATCAATCAAACAAAATTACATTTTGCTAGTACTTAAGATGAACAAGAGTAACCCTTAGTAGTTAAAGGCGTACATCTGTAGGCTTCAGTGAGCCCTCTAAAACACTGAAATAGATGGTATGGTTAGAATATGATTGCCTTTGAACTGCAGGCATAATGCAGCTTCCTCCCAGACACAACACACACGTGCACTAGCATGAAATCATTTTGACATGTTAGATCTATTCAACTAAGACAGCATGCATGGTTTGCAAATGTACTTGGCCCTGCAGTACAGCACAGCAAAGCTTTCAACACCAAGCAGGAGTCTGTATGACCATTTGAGAAACAACAATAGTAAAAATTCTTGCACACAATAGAAATAAGTGGCATCAGTGCTGGATCTTTATGAGCAAAGACAACTACAACCCTACATGCTACACCAGGGAATGTTGTCTTATATCCAAGGCAAGCTACAGTAAAATCCATTTCTGAACAAGGGCCTCAGGAAGTCTGGCCAGTTCCCCACTTCAAGACTTCAAGTTTGGGTTGGGTTTTGGGTTTGTTTTTTTTTGTTTTGGTGGGTTTTTTTGTTGGTTTGGGGTTGGGTTTTTTCGCATTCCTTTCTAACTTTATCAGGACAGAAGAATCTACTTTTGTGGATTATGAAGTTTACCCGTGTACAGCTGTGTGACAGCAGAGCAAAAAGGCTGTATAACAAATGGAACATGTCAGCTGTGCTGAGCCTACACCACCATTCCTAATGGCTAAAGCAGGTCTCAGAACACCCTTCTGTACACACAATGAGAAAATGCTGCATTCTAGTCCACAATATATCCCTTTCAAAGGCGAGCAGGGTGGAGGTGGTGGAAAGATAGCAGTTTGTGGAATATCCAGCTAGATGAAGAGAAAACTGAAGCCCATGACTAGGCTAGCTTGCATTCTGGTGTGGTCATTCAGACATCTACCATAACAAGCTGCCTTACTGTCACAGAAGATTATCTGTAAAGATACTCAAGATAACTCTCAAGAATTTGCAAAACAAATTGTTTCTTGATTACAAGTAGGAGATGACAGGTAGTAAAGTTATCACCTGCTTAATTTAGAGACGATACATGTAAAAAGTTATCTAAAACACATTCTTCTGAGGGATCTGATTTACCCATTAACTAAGTAAAACTATTTTCAGAGATTAAAGACCAATTATTTCTTTTAAGCATATCAATTGACATAATTTCTAAAGCCAAAAAATGTATACACCAAGCAAAATATTTTAATTGCACATTTGTGTACACAAGAACCTTACATTGTGATGTGTTCAGTACTTTCAAAACTTTAGTTATGATCATTTTTTGCTTAAAAATCAAAGGTCTTCATAGGTCTTGACAGAAAAAGGTCTTAATAGAGTAAGAAACAAGATATTTAGCTCCCAGGTGATTTTAATTTTCTTCAGTGGCAACAAGTTAAGTTAAACCAATATTTAGACCACCAGTGTCCTGGTTTTTAGCTAAAATAGAGCTGTTATTTTTCCCTGGTCCTCTCTCAGCCGAGTAGCTGATTCTATGTTCTGGAGAGTTCATCAAGAAGTCAGCTCAAGTTTCCTGACTAGCAGTCTTTAAGAGATATATTGATTTGTTTTGAAGAAAAACCCTTCTCTAGTGATCTAGGAAGACAAGAGATACATGCTAGTTAAGGAAAAACCTGAGGTGGCCTAAATAACTTCTGAGTTCTAGCAACACACCTATTATTGTAAAAGATGGGGAGTAGAATTCTGCAAGTCTTAAAGGCTCTTAACATCTTATGTTTAGTTAGTAAGTCTTTGTAAGCATTTTCTTAGAAGAATTAAAAAAGATGAAGACTGCAAAAAGGCCAGAGAGACATGAGCAACATGCACTAGGAAGCAGCTTCCTATTTTAAATTATAAACTAAAGGATTATAGCAACCTTGTCCTGGAACATATAGCCCAACAGTTCTTTTTCCTCCCCTTCAAAATTTATCTAGGGAAAAAAGAAACATGCTCAATGCAATTAGTGTAAAGTTAAGGGTTTAAAAATAAAAAAAAAAAAGGACAATTATACATGAGTACATTTTAGTCCTTTCTGCCCTGTATCTTAACAGTGCATCTAAAAAGGAGGAATTAAACCCCCCAAAACCCCCACTGTGGCAGCAGTTTGTTCTGTATTAGAAATGCATGAAGTAAGTTAAAAAGCAGCTGCTCAGTACAGCCACAAGCCAAGTCAAAACTGAAGATTTACTGAGGTGATAATTTAACAAAAAAGTTAAATGACAAAGAGGAATTCTTACTCATAACTGTTGAATTTGCACCTTTAAAAAATTTAACCAAGTGACTGTTTCCCTGGAATTCTATTTGAACCTTGTGCTTACTAGTCCAGTCCAATATCCTGTCCTAAAGAGTAAACTAAAAAAGTTCAAATCTCAATTGCTGAATATAATGTAAAAGCTGATCCCTGTCACCCCAAGAACAAGGAGTTTACATAACCAAACCATACAACAAATAAGATTGCTACAGGTAGTTGTGGTTAAGAGGAATATTTATGCTGAAGAACCAAAGCTGGTACTTCTGAAGTTCACAGTCAGTAACAGCTGCACAATTCAACCGTTAAGTTCTGCAAACTGTTTCATAGAATCATAGAATGGTTTAGGTTGGAAGGGACCTTAAAGCTCATCCAGTCCCAACCTCCCTGCCATCAGCAGGGACACCTTCCACTAGACCAGGTTGCTCAAAGCCTCATCCAGCCTGGCCTTAAACACTTCCAGGGAGGAGCAGCCACAGCTTCTCTGGGCAACCTGTTCCAGTGTCTGACCACCCTCACAGTAAAGAGCTACTCTGCTTCTATCAGCAAAAAGTAAAACTTCTGAAAAGCAAGTTGGGATTGCTGCAGTAATCTGCTGGTTTTAATCTTGCACAAAACCACAACCAATTCTTGTTATCTCATCTCTCATCAGGAGCTATAATTGCAATACTATCATCACATTAAGACTTAATCAGCCAAGAAGAAAATCTATTCTTGCGCTGCTGTTTGGATAGATGAAGCTGTAATTTAGTACTACCATAAACTGTATTAACTTTGTAATTAATTCAAGTTAGCTTAGGATAGCTGCTGGTATAAACACCTATTAAAAAATAGGTTTTAGGTATATTATGAGGTCAGAGATTTCAGTGAATGTAAGATTGTATTTTTTAACTTCTAATGGTAAGATCCAATAAACATTCTGTTTAGACAAGAAACTAATGGTATAATAATAATAGCTCTCTTTCAAAAAAAAATATTAGGATAGTTTGCTTCTACAAATTTAATTAGGATATGAAAGGAAACTCATACTCCTAAGTACATCCAAACAGCAATTTTTAAGTCAATTAAATTGAGAAAGTTTCAAATACTTCATTATCATTAAAACACACTGAATGTCTTATCTAGTGATAACTGCAAGACTAAGAGCAACGAACAGTATGAAGGTCACATACAGAGATGCCAACTGCATACATCAATTTTTTGTCAGTGAAAGCAAGTCAGTAATCAAATGCCTTCATCTTTGCATAACAATGCTTTACACTGAGCTACAGAAAGGAAAAAATATCTGGCATAATAATGTATTTTCTGTTGTATCTCAAAATTACATTTCAGTCATATGAAATTAAATACAAGTAGTAACAACTATATATAAAATATAAAAATATATATAAAATATA